CCACAGCAGCCCCGGCCCGCCCGGTATCGGTATCGGTGCCGGTATCGGTGCCGGTGCCGGTCCCACAGCAGCGCCGGCCCGTTCGGTGCCGGTGCCACAGCAGCCCCGGCCCGCCCGGTATCGGTATCGGTATCGGTATCGGTATCGGAGCCGGTATCGGTATCGGTATCGGAGCCGGTGCCGGTGCCGGTCCCACAGCGCGCGCCCCCGCGGGTGGGGCCCTGACCGCCCCCGCCCCTCAGCGCATGCGCAGTGCGCGGACAAAATGGCGGCGCCCGTGGATCTGGAGCTCAAGAAGGTACGAGACCCCCTCCCGTGTGTTCCTCTTTCATGTCTGCTCCTTCCTTGTGTCCCACCCTTCCACCGTGTGTCCTGCTCACTGTGTGTCCCCCTCCGTGTCCGGGCGTCGCCGGCTGGTTCCCCCAGCCCGGGGCGGTTTGTGCCCCCGCCGCTCCTCACCCCGGCGCTCTCCCCTGGCCAGGCCTTCACGGAGCTGCAGGCCAAGGTGATGGACACGCAGCAGAAGGTGAAGCTGGCCGACCTGCAGATCGAGCAGCTCACCAAGACCAAGAAGCACGCGCACCTCACCGACACGGAGGTGATGATGCTGGTGGACGAGACCCGCATGTACGAGGGCGTGGGGCGGATGTGAGTATCGGCCGGAGCGGGGACACTCCGGCTCTCAGCGGCGGGAGAGGGGCCCCTCGACTCAGAAAGGACAGTGAGAGTCTGGAGCATGTCCGGAGAAGGATAACGCAGCCTGGGAAGGGTTTGGAGCAAAAGGACTGGCTGAAGGAGCTGTGATGGCTCAGCCCGGAGAAAAAGAGACTCGAGGGGAACTTTCTTGCTTTCTTCAAATTCCTGACTGGAGAGTGGAGCCAAGTGGTTGTCAGGCTTTTCTCCCAGATAACAAGTGATGAGAGGACATAGTCTTAAACTGCACCAGGGGAGGTTTAGGTAGGTCATTAGGAAGAATTTCTTTGCAGAAAGGGTGATTAAACATTGGAAGAGCTGCCCAGGCAGGTGGTGAAGTCACCATCCCTAGAAGTGTTTAAGGAAAGACTGGACATGGCACTTAATTCCATGATCTAGTTGACAAGGTGGTGTTGGGTCATAGGTTGCACTCAGTGACCTCAGAGGTGTTTTGCAACCTGATTGATTCTGAGACCCTCAGCCAGAGGCTCTGTGAAGCCTCCAGGCTGCTACCCTGGGCAGGAGGCTCTCCCCTTCACAAAGAGCTTGTCAGCTTTCTGTCAGTCGTCTTTCATTTTTAATTTCAGCAATTTGCCTGTGAATGTAGCAGGCTTATTCCTTTTCCTCTTGGGGTTAGGTACTCTCTGCCTTGATGAAGAGCTGTTACAAATTGTATTGGCTTTGTGTGGTTTAGCTTGCTGGCTCAGCTCCTGGCCTCAATGCTGTCCTCTGGCACCTCTGGGGAGTTTGTAATTTCAACTAGCAGAGCAGTACTCTAAAGCCAAATTGTGGAATTTGGCACTTTGTGGGAAGACCTTTACAGATCTGTCTAGCATCAGTCATTTCCACTGTAGT